TATTATAATAAGGGGGCAGTAATTTAACCAACTTCTCCGAGTAGGCAAATGTAGCTAATGTGCCAACTGGGACCTCGATGAAATCAATGTTGTTCATTGTGGGCAATACGTTGGGTGAGTGTAATGTGACCCAAAATGTGTAGTACTCGTCAAATAGTGCTAGATCTTTTACTATAACAGGAAACCAATCGGCATTGTAATCAATAATTAAATTGATCTCGGTGTTAAATAATGTAAGCCTTCGAAACGTCATGTTATATCCACTAACAAGTAAGAAATGTCAGGCATTTGCGCTGGGCTGTTTATAAAATATAATTTTGTTTGAAAAGTAATTATTTAATTTTTTAAACAGGAAAGGTAATTTTTGTTGTTTAGCACAATTGAGCATTATTTAAAAACCAAGTTAATTTTGATTTATTTAATAGTTAAAACACTTTAAAACTTAATAAATTAACTTACCTTTTCGAGAAAGATAAACAGATTCAACCGGGTCCATTTCTTTTCCAATGTACTCGCGCCCATCTCTATCGTAACCGGAAACGTCCATAGTCGCCCAGCGGCTAGCCCTATTCTTGGTAAAATCGGCATTAATACTCGCACTTAATTCATCCCATTGTTTGAGCATGGGTATTTCCCAAAGCAACCCTTCCGTGATCTCCCTCCAATTTTTATTCAGCTCGGTGAATATTGTAAAGTTATCCCGAGTTAACTCTTTATAATCATTATTATCTTGCAATGACCTATTGATTGCATTAATGTATTTCTGTCGATCTGGGTATTTTTGAATGACCCTACGCGATGAAAGCCACACTGGATAGCATACGGTAACACCGGGTAGTTTACTATAACTGTAGTACTCGGTTCGGGTGTTGATTATAGTGCGGCCCTCACTGTACTGTTGTATTAGTTGTGATAATTGGTATATTAAACCAAGAAGGCATATGGATGTTATAATAATCTTGATCAATTTACGACGTAATGACATAAAGGTTATGGTCTGAATAGATTTATTTGAATAATGTGGCTTTATTTTCCGGTTTATGGCCCAAACAGCTTGGAGATTATTTAATTGGGACATTTGACATTAGTTTGAATTTAATCAAAAATATGTTTACCAAGTCACATAATAAACATAATTAAACAATGTTTTTGTAGGAAGTTGATTATGTTGTTAGCAATAAATAATTATAATAACAATTATATTTTGTTTTGTTTAAGTATTGATTATTTATGAATACTAATTATTGTTATTAAAAATGCATTACATTAAATGAAATATTTCATATTTAATACAAAAAATAACAAATGTAATATTTATAATTATTATCTTTATTTTTTTTATAACAAAGCAATTATAGACAATTAAAAAATAATTAATATTGATTAATTCAACGACAAGAATTAAATATTTATAAATATGGTAATATTAATTAATTATTTACTAATATTACTTTATGAAACAAAATAATTAACAATTAGTGATAAATTGTAATTTTACGCAATCTATTTATAATTTTAGCAGTATTGATTAAACTGGGAAAACAAATAGTACAGACATGCTTAACCACATGCCAATAAGTAAAGCTCATAAAATTACCATGTTAAATTAAGTTTATTATAATGGGCCATATGGATAACAAATAGCATTTGCATTTTTAGTGACTATCTTTTAATCTGTTTTACTATCAATAATTAACATTTAATTTTGTTTTATTTATTAGAAATTGACTCGAGTTCAATATTTGATATAATTTAGTTAATCGATAAATAAATTTATTTGTTTATTTAATACATATTTTCTATGATATGCCATAAGACATATTAATCTATTAAGAACATCAGTAAATTGACAGGTTTATTATAACTGTTTTAGAGTTATTACTGTTTGACTGTAAATGTCAAAATATCTTTCATAATAAATAAAATATTGTTACAATGTTTTTATATAAATTAACAATGCCATTTGTATTAAACACTTGAAAAGCATTTAACTTTTTGTGGTATGAATTAAGACTAATAATGAATATTTTGGCATTTTACTATACAGTATATATGAGATAGTAATTATTGAGTGATAAATGTTATCAAAATCTTATGTTATAAAATTGATAGTATAAATGTATTATGTAAACTTAAATTTTTAAAAAATAAGTACAAAATTAAGTATATATTATGCAACAAATAATTTATAAAAAATTTATAATTAAAGTGCAATTTTGGACATACCAAATTTTAATGATAAATTTCTTATCAAAAAGTTCCCATGATTAAAATGAACATCTAAACATATAAAACAAGACATTGAAATTTGATAAATGATAATTGAAAATAAATATAATTTTAGTTTAGAAAAGTTAAATTATTAACCAAAATGACTGAGCCTAGAATACTCCGCTCAAACATACCGGTGGTAGACGTGCCTGAGCGAAGTGTTGGCGAATATATCTGGAATAAACTAAGCCAGCTTAATGAAAAGTCAATATGTTTGGTAATATATACTACTAATTTATTTCTCCATGTTGTTAATATTTTAATTGCAAAACATTATTTTATCATAACATTACAGATTAACGCCGAGTCCAACGAGCAGTTGACTATCGGTGCGCTGAAGCACAGGTGTCAAGCGGTGGCCACAGCACTACTAGCGCACGGTATAGCCCGTACGGATCGACTCGCTTTCTACGGCCAAAACACAATACCACACGTTGTGTTGCGATTGGCCACTAAATTGCTGGGCCTCCCGGTGTGTCCGCTCAGTCCCACGTTTGAAGCCTATGAAGTGGACCAGGAGTGTCAGTCCATGGGTGTGACCGTGGCCGTTTGCTCAGCGAGCCACTTGCATAAATTCAGCCGGCTACTTCAATCCGACTACAAACATAACATTAGGCTAGTGGTGGTGTTCGACGGCCATCACGACAGTCACGTGACATACGATCAGCTACTTGTTGAGGGCGGCGATCGGGCGCTGACAAAAGTGCCCCACTTTCCCGTTAACCCCGATGTGGACCCCGTTATACTCATACACACGTCGGGCAGCACAGGGAGACCCAAGTGTGTGATGCTTAAACACAAATCAATTCTTGCATTGCTAAGTGAACGTGGTCACTTTCTCGACCCGGGCACCGGTACTGATCACGTGATCGGCGCCCCGTACCCAATGGGTCACATTAGCGGCACATCTATTATACCACTGCAGCTATGTCTGGGCGCTCGGCTAGTGATTTACCCCGATTTTGACGTTGAGTTATTGTTTAGATCCATCGAGCGCTATAAAATCAACTTTTTGCCAACATTTCCCTCGTTTGGTCGCAAATTGGTGGAGGGTGATTTGTGCGATAAATATGATTTATCTAGTTTACGCATTGTTAACACCGGTGGCTCTCCATTAGCCGCCAGTATATCGTTGGCTATTATTGATAAATACGGCGTTGGGTTTCGTGAAGGTATGTTATATGGTGTACAACATTTTTATTATTAAAATGTTAATTATAATTACCTAGATTAATAGCCGTATTCAAAGACGTAAAATAGAGCACCAACTTATGCTCTATGTCTAGAAAAGTTTCAATTCTCATTCATAGACAACAACTCCAAGAGTTGGAACTCCTAATAATAGAGTCCCATATTTATCAGACTCTACCCTGAAAAGTTGACTTACTAGT